AACAGTAGTTTGTATCACAGCTTCGATGGACGGACTAGCGCTATCACTGGAGTTGCATCTTTCGAATAGACGGAAAGCAGCAATGATTATCAGTACGCCTTTTGAGGTCATAGTTACCCCAGATGTCTAGCTACAAAAGATTAAATCTTCTGCTCCGAACTATTAATTTTGGCAATACCTGCTGATGAGAACCATCAGTTTTTCCAACTACGAACCCTCTCGAAGTATACCAATCCATACTACCTGGTCTAGAGAGGATTCAACAGGTAGGTCAGCACCAACAGAGTGGAACCTATTCAAACAGTCTATCAGTAGGCGTTCGGATATTTGGTAAGGTGTTAGGCGGAGTTCAATATTCAGAACGTTGATATTTGCAAATGTCCTTATCAGTCACTTTCTCAGACAGATCTTCTTTCACTATGGAAGAAATTTATGCCATTCTTGAAGTTTACAGAAAAAATAGCACAAGAGATGGAAAAAACAGAGGAAAAGGCGATGCATTTTGCTAGTACAAAGAGCATAATGAGTATGCTATCGCCAAAATCAAAACATTTGAGCTTCAGTGAGTCTCCACTGTCAAAATGGTCGTGTTGCTGCCTCTTTTTGAGCTGCCGATTAGAATCATTTAATACTGAGTTTAACCTTTAATAGTGTATGAAAGTCAAGCACTCAAGCTAAAAGCTTGCCATCAGCGAATTCCTACGACTATGTTGCTTTCATACAAATCTTACTGTGTACGTTCGCTTAGTAATGCCACTCATGAAAATGCTTCTAGAAAAACATTGCTCTTACATGCCGGTACGTCATAAATCTGTACAGGCACACTTAAAAGCCACCATAAAAATGGTACTTACAACATGTAAGTAGCCTTGTTTTCACGAATAACTGCTAACTGATATTGAAGTGGAATTGCTTGGTGTTCAAATTGCCGAGGAATAACAGAGGACACATAATTATTCAAGCGTTTCCTGAAAAGTTGTAGGGGCCTTGCCTCCATGCTTAATCAAGGTAGATGATTCCATTGTTCTAATACCCTTTGTATGAAGAATTTAGAGCAAATTTTAGCCTGGAAATCTTTGTGCGCAGCTTCATTGCGTGTCCACAAAGATGGGACGAGAGTTGCAACTGACGCATGTGCTCAACATGTAAACCTTTTTCAAGGCCATACATAATCTTCGAAACTATAACAAAATCATGTCTTAGCTACCAGTAACACAGACGAAATAGATGCTGGAATTCCAGTTTTTCATTATGGCCATGTCCGCCACGCCCGGATGATTTATTCTAGGCGAGTTTGAGTGAAGGTGGCGCAGGCTGTATAGGATGCAAGTTTGTCGGAAGCTACAAAGTCCCTTCTGACGGCATTCAGTAGTCCCACGGCGTCGCTCGCAGCCTTAACAAATTGCACTGGTGGGTTCATATTGTTTTGGCAAACGTTTTGTTTTCGGTCATCCATTGCTATTAAAATACACGAGAAAAAGTAATCAATCTTACACGAATAAATTCCCGAAATATTTCGCTTCTGTACTTGCCTAAAACATACTGTCCTGTAGAGGTCTGTTACCCCATCACACCCTAAATCTGGTTCTGCCTGCAAGAACAGCTGTCCGGTGAGTCACACACTGCAACTGACTTAGGCTA